GCAAAATGCTTACACATGATTTTTTTTTTTTTTATTAATTTATGATTTTCGTTTCTTAGGTTCTTGATTTATCAACATCCAAAGAATACTTGAAAAACCAGTCATCCAACCAGTTCTTGATTTTATTAACTTTATTTATGTACCTGTTATTTATATTCCTTTGGAATGTATTAAGTTATTTTTGGAATTCACAGATATCATATTTTTTTATTTTATGTAAATCAATCTTTTGGTGATGTTATTTATGTCTTTTGGCCCATCTCTTTGTCACCAAAATGAAGAAGAAGAAATTGCATGCGCTACAGTTATGATTAAAATATTTAACACTTTTGCACTTCCTTTATTTTCTTTTTTAAAGTCACATAAAAGATTTTTAATTATACCTACAATCGTGATTGACCTAGCCTTCTCCTCTATTTAAGCAACCAAACATTAGCAGCCTCCGATGGATTTCTCCACTCCAATAGTTCGTCAAAATGCATCCCAATTTCCTCTGAAAATTAAACCAATATCCGGCGGCTCGAGAGCACCAAGAATCCCAGCGAGCGGCGATGCGAAGCAGGTGAACCGCGAGCAAGCAGCAGCGGCGGAGCTTTTTCCGACCTTCGACCTCCAGGCGTGACGACGAACCTTGGCTGAGGGCCACCAAATTTCCAGCGAGTTTCAGTACGTCTGAGACCGTGAGGCTTTCACCTGGCCAAACCAGTTCCGGCGAGAACCAGAAGAATCCGTCGCGTGTTTCCTAGAATTTGCCCCTTTTATTCTTTCCTTTTTTTTCTTGTATGATTTAATTTTGATTTTAATAATAACAGCTTTGAGCTTTTGTGGGTGTTTAAGAAGTAACCTTTGCACTTATGCATTGAAAATGTATATAATTCGAAGGTATATTTACAAAACCGAGTTGGTTATATGTTGGGTATATCTGAGTATATCTAAAGTAACTTTTTTCTGGTTATCTGTTTAATAATTCTTTTTTTTCTTGTGTTATTTGTTGGGTATATCCGAGTATATCTGAAGTAACTTTTCTCTGGTTATCTGGTTATCTGGTGGGCATATCCGAGGTAACTTTTCTCTCTATCCGAAATATCTTTTCTCTTTTCTATGCTATACACTTTGTCACTGACTTTCTGCACCTGTTACACATTTTTTAGTATATTTGAAGTATATTTTTGGTGTATGTTAGTATATTTCTGCACCTGCGTGAATTATAACATTGCAACATACACTGAATATATACTAACATAAACTCAAAATATACTACCTGGCGGCTGCTTGAATTATAATGTACAAGTTGCGTGAATTAAGGAAGTAATAAATGAATCAGTTATTATTTTTCTTTTCTCTCTCTTAATCAAGTCCAGAAAAAGGGGGATGAAAGTTGAATATATATGGTAATTGTTATTGATGCAATCTTATAAATAAATTAGCTTCATTAGGTATAATTGAAAATACTTTCATATGAAGGTAAATTTGAAAATATTTGTATATCTTATAGGAGGACTAAAAATTTCTAAAGGCCAAATAGCGGGCTCAGCCATCTTGGCTATTGGGCCAATTTGAAATAGGCCTAAAAAAAAGCCCAGGACGAATATATTAGACCAAAGGAGAAAGGAATCTCAATCCAAACATTGAAATACGGAAGAGATAACTTCACTTGCATTAGAAGACGTGTACAAGGAAAAAAATCGAGAGTATTATTAAATTGAAAAAAGTGAAATCAGAGTCAAACATTATCAAAAATTATTAAGTGCTCATCTATACTTATATTAAAGAGAAACCTATTTACTAAATATAGTAGGTAAAAAAATCAACTTTAATTAATGAACTTCTAATTTTATCAAGTAGTAATTAATGTATTTATAATTTTAATCAAGTTTCCTATTTTACATATTGTTTTTAATCCTTCTTATCTTGACACAAAAAATCCCATAAAATGAGGTGAGCAAAATCAATCAAAATTCTGTTTCTAAAAACAACAAATTAATATTACGATTTTGAATAATACAATAACAAATTATAATATATTTTTATAAAACTTATAAAAAATTATTAAAAAAACTTGGTTCGTATATTTGTATGGATATTTATATTTTTTTAATATTATCTTTGTGTTAAAAAAAACTATTTACCACTATTCTTTTTTATTATATAATAAAATAATAATTACATATTATACGATGAACAAGAATAAATAAAACTGTTACTTTTTCTTATATCAAGGGATACATTTATATACTGAAATTAAAGTTTTATTAGTATAAATATAATATTAATTATTTTACAAGCTAGCCCTAACATACTCATATTTAATGTTCTGGCTAAAAACAATGCTGGTTAAAAGATATGAAAAAAAGCTTATAACATTATTGTTTTTTAGACTTAACGTTGAATAAAAGAGGTAAAAAATAGATAATAACACTATTACTTTTAAGATTTAAACGGACAAGGCTGTTAAAATAACTCATTTAATATCTATGTTCCGTGCATCGCACGGGGTACGTACTAGTATTATTAAATTCTAGTAGGCTTTTTCTAATGTTTGGCAAAATTCAATTAGCTAGAAAAAGGCAATTTCAAATCTCAATAATAACATGGACTAATTCAACCTCACAACATATATATCTTCATAATAATTAAAAAATAAAATAAAATTGAAACCAGGCATATCAAAATAATTCCACCAATTGTATATCACAATATCGTATTTTTTTAACATTATACTCAAAGTGTAGGATATGTTATTCTTCTACGACATAGTGAAAGATATTTTTATTTGGCATTAATTCGTTAGTTCGAATAAATACCTGGAACCACAAAAAAAGGAAGATCTTTATATTATTTCATTTCCTTCCTTAGTTTATTTTGTCTTCCATGTATAAAGTTGCATGGATCTTATTATTGTATATTTTAGTGTAGGAAATCGGGGTTAATGAGAACAAGGGAAGAGAGTCATGTTTAAGAAGGAGATCTTGGAGAGAGAAGAGGAGATCCACTTACCAAACTTGTGCTACAAATAAGGAAGAAAATCTCAAGAAGGAGTTATCTTACTTGGAGAAGACTCTACTCCTAAGAGGATGTATAAATACCCTATCTTGAAGATCGAATGAGGCTGCTGCTATTATTTACTAATCTTAGCAATATTCGAGCTTCAGTTTTACGTTTGTATTCTTTGTTTTACAGTTCAGCTTTCAGGTTCTTACATATCCCAGAACTGAAGCTGTTTTGTTTTGTTTTTGCTTAAGTTTTTCTCAAACACTTTCATACAACACACTTAGGGGCTAAGTGTTAGTAAAAGTCCACGGGACGTGGTCGGAGAAATAGTTGATAGGATCTTGAATAGCATTGACTAGACTAGAAGGGAGTTCAAGTCTTGTAAGTCCAAACTATGTCATTGTACGATTTATCAATGAAAGAGCTCTGAGGGGAAGTGGGACTCTTCCCCTGATGACTTGTTTAAATTTTCGGTTTATTGTTTCCGCATTTTTACAGTTCTTATTCAAGTTCGTACTTCGTTTAGCGCACTCGCAATTAATTTACGTTTCAATCAGTTAATTGCACATTATAATCCTACCCTGAAATTTTTAATTTTTAATTCTTCCTCTTCAATAGTGTTGTTTAATTAAACGAGTCTAGCTCAACTCGACTCGAGCTCAACTCGAGTTCGAGGCGTTAACGAGCAGAGTTCGAACTCATTTAAAACTCGTTTGACTAACGAGCCATTCGATAAGGCTCGAAAATAGATTTTTATATAATTTTTTTGCCAAAGAAAAATTTAATATATATATCTCATTAAATTATTCCACAAACTAATCTTAAACTGCAAACAACTCCTACTTTGAGTAATGGCCCACACATCACCAAGTAATTCCACTTTGTGGGCACCCTTTTTCCTTCCCCTTTGATGGGTCAAAACAAAAAAGCATATAAATTCCCTCATTTTGACAACAAAAAAATCATCCAATCCACACTTCACAATAAATCAAAATACAATTTCTTTTTTTAATTTTTTATTTTTTTTTTTTAAAAAAAACATTGTTGTTAACTTGTTACCTTTCTTTTCATCCCCCCCAATAATTTTTTTATATATTTTTTATTTTTATTTTTTTAAATTTTCCCATGAACAATTTTTCATCTACAAATATGAAGAATCAAGTAACAGAAGATGATAATTATTTGCCTCATGAAGAAGAAAGTGGATGGACTGCTTATTTAGATGGTTTTTCATCAAGCTCCAATTGTAATGTTGATGGAAGTTTTATGAGCAGCCCTTCTTTGGTCTCTGATGCAGCTTGGTATGGCTCAGACAATCACATGACTCATATCAAAAGATTGAAAATATTCAAGAATCCGAAGAGAGGTAAAAATAATCGCCGAAAATTCTCGTGTGACGATGATTTGACCGATACCGCTAGCTCCCCTGTTAACAGCCCCAAGGTAAATTTGAATTTATCTAGCTGATATTTCAATATCAATTTATATGTTTTTCTTTAATTAATTTATTTATTTATTTAAATAGGTGAGCAATTTGAGGCAAATGGAGATGATCAACCAATACCAAAGAGTAGGTGATGATCATTTGGCTAAGGGCAATTTTCAGGTAATTAACTAACTAACTAACTAACTAACTAACATGCAAGTCACAAATTTTAATTTCATGCATACCCATATATTTTAATTATTTTGTTTTTGTTCTTGTTTTATTTGTGTATAGGATAAACAAGTCGGCTCGAATATTGCTTTGATGACCAAAATAATGGAGAAAAATGGAGAGCATAATGTTGTTGACCTCAGGCAGAAGGGACTCTGTGTGGTGCCAATGTCTGCATTCATCGACTACTTTCAATGAAAAAACAAAAACGGAACATTGTAATATTTCGAGTTTTTCAATTTGGATGTGAAAAAACGACCGTTGGATGTGTAGAATGGTTTGGTGACGATCTTATGTAAGAAGATTATAGAAGGTGTTGAGAAATTTTTATGTTAAAAAAGAGAATTTTTTTTAGTATGTTTGTTGTGTTAATGTATGTTGTGCAGTTTAGTCTAAATCTAGTGTAGAATATGGAGTTTGTTGAGCAAAATGGTAGAAGCAATATTATTGTACCCCTAATCAATTAATAGCATTGATTAAAATGAAATTTTAAATGAGATTTTAATCCATTAATTTTGTTTGGTTCTCTTATTTGTCCGCTAATTATTTTTTAATTTGCAATTTGGTACATTAACTTTTATTTTGTGGTAGTTTCGTAAAAAGAAAAAAAAAAGAAAAAACCTTGGTGGGAGACTCACCCACCATTGTTAAGTGTGCGACCCGGGTCGACCAACGGATTAGTCGGGACAACGCTCCGGATACGGGACAACCCTTCTTTGGCACAAAAATTATATAAAAATCTGTTTTCGAGCCTTATCGAATGGCTCGTTAGCCAAACGAGTTTTAAATGAGCTCGAGCTCGAGTCTAGCCGAGCCAGACTCGTTTAATTAAACAATTCCGAATTTCCAACAGAACGCTGAAAAACGGAGACTGCAATTTGAAAATTTTCTAAAATATTAATGGAAGAAATTGATAAAATATTAAAAGTTATTGTGTCAATTAAATTGTAATACTAAAATGTTCTTATATTAAATAACTACAAGAAAATGATGAAATTCCAACAGAAATCTATTCCAAAAGAATTATTCCAACGTAAATTTCAACGGATATTTCAATACTATTATTTCTGTTGGAATTTTTCAATGGATTCCAACCGAAATTTCAATAAAAATATTCCGTTGGAATGGGTTTCCTATTGGATTTTGACGATTCCAACGGTGGTGGAAATAAAAATTCCAACGGTCAAAGCCATTAAAAATATAGCCGTTGAATCATCAAATTCTATTTAAAATTCCAATGAAAAACACATTCTAACGGAATATTTCTGCTGGAATTTTCGTTGGAACCATTCTAACGGAAGCTATACCATTGGCATATCCTTTGGAATTTTATTGGAATATATATTACCATAAGATTTTCCGTTGAAATATAACAATTTTGTAGTGAATAGGAAACAACCATATTTATTGTACCAAAAATTTCACACTCATAAGTCCTAAGTTCTAAGTCTCAAAAAATTTTTAGACTTTGGAACATTCTTAGATATTGCTTTCTAGATTCTTATTCACACTCACAAGTCACAAGTCCCAAGTCTAAAAATTTTTTTATTCTCCTTATATAATTTATTTACTTTTTGTATGATCGATATATATACTTGCGTACATGTTGCTATTGTTTATAACTGAAACGACCAGTTAGTTTGAAATTAACCCATAAATTAAGGGAATATAATCGCCTAACTGATTCTTAAAAATTGTTAAAAAAAAAAAAAGTAGGATTCATGAACTTTATGGGCAATATTAGCAATGTGCTATAGTTGATTTTTTTTTTTAATAAAATATTTAAATTTGATTTTTTTTATGATTTGGCTAGGAGTGTTATTCGAGCTGAACCGAGTTGAGGACCTCAGTTCGAGGTCGTTTTTGTTTATTAAATGAGCTGACTCGGCTCGGTTTATTTAATAAACTTAAAACCTTAAATGAGTTGTTCGTGTATAGGGTCGGTTCAACTATTCACATTTAAAATTTATAGGGAAAAAAAGTTTTTTGGTCCTTTATCTGCAGGCCGTTTTCAATTTGGTACCGTAAATGGACCGATTTTGGAAATAGTCCCTTAAGTGAAAAAAAATTAGTTTTTTGGTCCTCCGACCGCCTACAGCAGGTCAGATTTACCGGCTGCCTACGTGAAAATTCGCTCGAATTATTTTATTTTTTTTTTGCTGAGTTGTATGCTTAGGTGGCGATTATGTGGCATAATTGTAAAAAAATATGCTAAAGAGAGGATTCGAACCCAAGTCCAATGGGAGTAAAAGAGCTCATGGACCACTTGAGCTAGCACACTTTATGTTAAAAATTTAACTTCAATTATATATCTACCAACATAGTTTTATCTAATTTATATTATTCAATTTGTGCTACTTTTATATTTTAATAATTTTTTTTATATATTAAATAAATATTATTTAATTATTTTCTAAATAAATATTTTAACGTATTTAATTAAATTAATTTTAATATTAAATAAATATTTATCAAAGAAATGAATAAAATAAATAATATAATTTACCAAA